ATCCTCACCTGGGAATATTTTTCCATTGATTTTTAGGGAGAGTGAGAGAGAAAGGGAAAGACTGAGAGAAACATCGATGTGAGAGAAATATTGATTGATTGCCTCCTGCACGAGCCCTCCCTGGGGAGGATGTACATGTCCTTGACTGGAATTGAAACTGGGACCCTTTAATCTGCAGGCCAACACTATCCACTGAGCCAAACCAGCATGGGCTCATCTTTGATTCTTGTCCGAGGTCCATAGGACATGAGAATAGCTAAAACAAATTTGAAAAAGAAGAATAAAGTTGGAGGAGTCATGTCAACAGATTTCAAGACTTACATGGCTAAAGTAATCAAGATACTGATATTGGTGGAGAGATAGACAGATAGATCAATGGAACAGAATAGAAAACCCAGAAATAGCCCCACACAAGTACCACTCACTGATTTTTTACAAGTGGGCAAAGCAATTCAATGGAAGAAAGATATCCTTTTCAACAGATGGTGCTGGAGCACTTGAAATTTGTATCCAAAACAAAAAAACAAAACTAAACACACACACACACACACAAACAAAAAACACAAACACCCCAATCTAAACCTCAAAACTTATACAAAAGATTAAACAAAAATGGATCACAGATTTAAATTTAAATTTAAATGTAAAAATATAAAACTTCTAGAAGAAAACATGGGAAAAAACTTTCAGATGTAGGTGAAAAGCACAATCCATAAAAAAAGAGAATCAATGAATTGGACTTAATCAAAAGTTAAAACTTTTACTCTGGGAGAGGCCCTGCGAAAAGATAGATGAAAAGACAAATTACAGACTGGAAGAAATATTTGACAAACCACATATTTGACAAAGGACTTGTATCTAGACAATATAGGCAACTCTCACAACTCAACAGTAGAAAACAAACAGTTCAATTAGAAGGAAGTCTCGAAAAGATATTTAATTGAAGAGGATATACAGATGGCAGGCAAATAAGCACCTGAAAGATGTTCAACATCATAGCAATTAGAGAAATGCAAATTAAGGTCACAATGAGATTCCATTACATACTTATTAGAATAGCTGAAATTAAAAATACTGGCAACACTAAATGTTGGCAAGGATGCAGAGAAACTGGGTCTTTTATACATTGCTGGTGAGAATGTTAAATGATACGACCGCTATGGAAAATAGATTGGCAGTTTCTTAAAACAAAACAAAACAAAAAACACAAAAATATACTCACCAGACTACCCACCAAATGTACTCTTGGGCATTTATTCCAGAGAAATAAAAATGTAGTTTTAAAAACGTGCAGATGAATGTTCATAGCAGCTTTATTTAATTTTGAAGGGATTCCTTTTTAAAAAATACTATTTTTTTTAGACTGGTGTTAAGTTCACAGCAAAATTGAGAAGAAGGCACAGAGGTTTCTCCTATACTTTCTGCTCCTACTCAGGCACAGCCTCTCCTGTTATCAACATATCCCACCAGAGTGCCCATTTGTTAAGATTGATGAACTTACATCAATACATCATAACCACCCACAGCCCATAGT